AATTAAAACAAAAAATTAGAACTTTAATCACAACCATCATGAAAATAGGTATAAACTAACCATAATCATTAAATACGTTAAAATAACTCACATTGCGATCCGGACACTTGTAGAAGATATGATCCTTGTTGGGACCCTCCTTCTTCACTCGGTACTCCATCACAATCTTTGTCTCATCACGACACTTGCCGCATGGAATGAGAGGAAGGCCCGGCCTAAGTCGCTTTGGAAACCCATGAGAGGCCGAGGACCCGGAAGCAGTTGCCATCTACTCTCTATACTCATTTTTTAATACACTATAAATTTCTCCTTTTATAAACAAATAAAATTAACAAACTATAAAATTATCTAGATCTCTAAACAATGATATTTTTAATGGTCATTGTGTTCTCGCTTTTTTTATGGCGGGTAAGTAATTCACATGATATTTCCGTAAATTAACGAGAAGAATGGGAGTGTACACACATAATGTAGACTACTGCGGACGATATCGGGACGTGTGAATAAATAACCATCCGTACTAGTTGACCTTGCTTACGTGATCATCTCGGCGAGCATTTCTCCACCGGACGGCACCGTACTTGGCCACGGAAGAGCTCCAATTCTACGAGGAAGGGAACACGGTCTTCCACGACCGTTGCCGCTCTCCCTCGTAGAATCAAAGCTCCTCCTTGATGTCCGTTACCGCTCGACAGAGAACATGCTTGCCGAGCTGAACACGGTCCGCAAGTTCAACTAGTACGGATTTTCTATAATTTTCTAACTATTTTCTAAGTTTTTATTTATATATACTACGTTTAGGTACGGTGATTGACAGACTACTGCGACGATATCGGGACATGTGAATAAATAACCATCCGTACTAGCTGACCTTGCTTACGTGATCATCTCGGCGAGCATTTCTCCACCGGACGGCACCGTACTTGGTCAAGGAAGGGCTCCGATTCTACGAGTAAGGGAACACGGTCTTCCACGACCGTTGTCGCTCTCCCTCGTAGAATCAAAGCTCCTCCTTGACGTCCGTTACCGCTCGGCAGAGAACATGCTCGCCGAGCTGAACACGGTCCGCAAGTTCAACTAGTACGGATTTGCTATAATTTTCTAACTATTTTCTAAGTTTATATTTATATATACTTTAACCTTCTTTCATGTAAATATGCAAGCTTGAAGTGATTTTGAGCTCAAATTGCTTACAAATGAAAAAAAACCACAATAAAGTACCATAAATATATATAGTGAACAAAATGGCATAAGAAAATGGTGAAAAATGAGAGTATGTAATTGGTAACCTTTACAACTGAAGAATCGACGGAGGAATCGAAGAAATCGATGGAAGAATGGATGGAGGAACAATGGAGGGAGGGAGGAAGCAAGAACACTACTGCAGTGAGCTTCAAAATGTGCTGAGCTCGGGCTCGGGGAGCAAGGAGGAGACGGCCGATTTATAAAGGGAGAACATTTAGTCCCGGTTGGTGGATCCAACCGGGACTAAAGGTAACTTTCCAACCCCGGGCGCAGCCACGGCCCGGGAGTAGACCTTTACTCCCGGTTGGAGCCACCAACCGGGAGTAAAAGTATACCTTTAGTCCCGGTTGGTGGCTCCAACCGGGACTAAAGGTCCCTGCCACCTTTGTCTGGCGTAGTAGCCGTTGGGCAGGGACCTTTAGTCCCGGTTGGATCCTCCAACCGGGACTAAAGGTATTTCTAGTCCCGGGAGCAAAAAATTCCGGGACTAGAGCCCATTTTAGCCGAGGATCAAAGGTCTGTTCTCTACTAGTGAAAGGTAACACATGAGGTACTACATGCATGAAAAAAATCGATCAATTACGTTTAAAGTTTGTAAACTAACACAGGAGGTAACGTAGTACATGCATAAAAAAATCAATTACATTCAAAGTTTGTAAACCAACAGGTGGAACACGTACATGCATCAAAAAAAAAGTTGCTAACACGACAGGTGGAACACGTACATGCATAAAAAAAAAGTTGCTAACACGACACTAGCTAACATAAAGGCGTTACATGCCAAAAAAAAAAACTAACATGCTAGTTAAATACATCACGTCCAAAGTTTGCAAACTAAAAAGATTCACTATATCCTATAAATCATGCATGCATCAATTAGATCTATAAAAGAAAAAATATATCTAAAACTTCTTAATTTATCATACTTTACAAAATAAAAAATAAAATAAATACATATTTGATCTACTACCTCCTAGATGGTCGTAGCCATCCGATCTATCTAAGTGAATGGTTCACAGTTATTTGAGGGTGCCTCCTCTAATACTGTGTGGCCAAAGTACCAGAGTGCAAAATTATATCCTATCCTTACTAAAAGTGCTTCATCCTTGTGATGTAAGTTGATGAACAATCCATCTCGTACGGGTGACAGTCATATCCCCGGCGTTGGCCGACGCGCCTAACGACACACGGGCGCGAACCGCTGTGGATGTCGATGAGGAGCTCCCGCCCCGAACACACGCCAACCACGCAGCCGCTCCTTGGGCAGAAGGCACTCAGACTCAGATGTAAGTTGTTCACGTCGATTGCTATCGTCTGCTGCAGAGTCCACCCGGCGGCGTCGCCGCCGTTCAGCATCACCCACACCTGGATCCGGGGCCCTTGCAGCGACTCTATCAGAGACAGCCGGCCATTGCCGGACGTTGCCAGGAGCCCAGGATAGGCGGGGAGATGTGAGGATAGGTGCGAGAGGCGGTGAGACGGTAATGCTGTGGCAACTCCGTGGTCCATGTCCGGCCAGTGCGCACGTCAAGGGGCAGCGTACATGTGATGGCACCTACGCTAGGCCCGGCGAGCCAGTACACGGAGTCACGGGCTCACGGCAGACCAGCGTGCTGCGCCGTTCCATGCACACGTAGAGACCCTGCTCCGACTCATCGCTGGAACGCTGGACTGGCCCCCACACCCCAGCCGACTCATCGCTGGAACGCTGGACTGGCCCCCACACCCCAGCGCTGTCGCCTGCGCCGGCGGCGGACGTGAGCAAGACCTGGAACGAGAGTCCTTCCTCTTTCTCCTTGCTGAACATAAACCTGTCTCTCTTCTGCCCACGCCGTTCGATGGGAGCGCGGACTGGAACGGACGACCCGGCGTGCGCCACAGCCGCGCTTCGTGTTCGCTGAAGTGGAAGACGCCAAGGAGCAGGCTGGTATCAAAGCGGCCGGGGCGAGGCCGGAGGCTCGCGGCGTTGCCGATGATGGCACGACGCCACGGCTTGCAGACGCCGGCGCAGCGGATTACGTCGGTGGGATCGAGGAGGAGGTCAGTCGGTAGAGCTGTTGCCACCATCGTCGTTGTGTCCACGACATCCACGTCTCCAGGTCCTGGGAGTTCTGGCGGCGGCGATGGAAGAGATGGTGGGAATTCTGGCGGCGGCGATGGAAGAGACGGCGCGTGGCAAAATTTACTTTACCAGAATAGCTCACGTAACATTGTTCCGTATGTGTAGCCGATTATTAAAATATAATAAATCTCAGTAGAATCATTTCAGTTTTTTTAACCCTTGGACTTCAAAACCGTCTCCGGTCAAAAATTGGAAGTTGTAAATAAAACTCTGAACAAATCGTACTCCATATATTACGGATCTCACTCGTATTTGATTGACGGAATCAAACGTGAGACTGAGACAAGGACAGGAACATTTTTTCACGGGAAAACGGACATGGGGACTTCGACTTCTCCAGGCTAGCTAAAATTTAGCCATTATCTAATCGATAATGATAGGTCACGGATGTCCGTGCCATGACTTCCGTCCCGACATTACAATGGCCCGACTCCCATTCTAGATTGTTCCGCTGCCCCCACACGTCTCTCCCGTTCCCTCTGCCCTCTTGGCCTCCACGACTCTGCCCCGTCTGACCCGCGCAACTGAACGCGCGCTGGCATGCCACCTCCACACTGCCCTCCTCGCGGCGTCGCTCTTGCTCCCGCTCGCCCACCCGGACTCCACCTTATCACCGCCCGCTACCACCGTGTACGATGAGCTCCGCCTCCGGGGCTCCCCGCGCAGCCTGCTCCCGGCCAACGCGCGTACCTACGCGCTCGACGCTGGCCCCGGGAACTTCGCCGTCGACCTCCGCTCCAGCTGCCGCATCGTGCTACCCACGGGGATCTAGCTCGACGCCTTCGGCGACCACCGCATCTCGGGCCTCGACGGCATCTGCGTCAGGGCCTTCTTTTGTTGGTGGTCCATCACGGGCACCGGGGACCTCCTTTCACTCTGTGGTATCGTGCTCTGCACCGGCATCGAGCTCCACTATGATGAGCTCCATTCGTCCCAGTAGTAAGGGGACATTATGTTGAAAGCGCAGCTTGTTGCAAGCGTCAGTGTTTCAGAGGTATGTTGCAAGGGTTTCATATGGATATTGTAAAAGTAGATCGAGATGTTACATATGTAGCAATGGTTGTACACTTACGTTGTAAACGTCTGTTCTCAATGTTTCATCTGTTTTTTCAAACGTATGTTCCAAGTGTGTTTATCTACACTACCGCATACAGGAGGTTTGCCGAGTGCCCCTGGCACTCGGCGAAACACAAAAAAACACTCGGCAAAGGGTTTGCCGAGTGTTACACTCGGCAAACCTGTGTCAGCAAACTCTAATTTGTCGAGTGTTTTTTGTCGGGCACTCGGCAAAGACGTTGTCGAGTGTCCAAAAACACTCGGCAAACATTTTTTCCAAAAAAAAAATAAAAAAACAAGCACCGGCCGCCACCACCGGCCGGCCACCACCACCGGCCGCTCCAACCACCGGCGTGCACACGAGGAACTTCACCGAAGCCGACGTTGGCCGTCGACCTGAAGCCAACACCGCCCTCTGTCCCCGACGCCGGTGCCGCACGCCGCTGCCGCCACAGGAGCACCGGATCCGGCAGAAAGCAAGACGACTTCCGATTTGGAGCTGGGGGCGGCTAAGGGCGCGGAGCGCAGAGCGGCGCGAGCGGAAGAGGACAAACCCATAGCCATTGGATCTGCCGGACTACTTGTCAGAGATGACGCGGCAGTCCTCGAGCTCGCCGAAGCGCGAGAAGGCGGAGCGGAGGTCTTCGGCGCCGGCGCCCCAGCCGAGGCCGTTGACGAAGAGCTTCCTGCTGGCCGGGTCGGCCTCCGCGGCGCGGTGCACGGCCGCCATCGTGGCGGGGCTCGCCTCAGCCGCCGTGCGGAGCAGCGCGACGAGCTGCTCCCACGACAGCGGTTCGAGCAGCTTGGCGATGTCCTCGGCGTCGTCCTCATCGTCTCCGGTGCCGTCGTCCTCGTCCTCGTCGGCGGCGGTGGGCTCGGGCGGGTCGTCGGTGATGGGGAAGTAGATGGTGCCGCGGGGCTTGGGCGCAAGCTTGCGGAGGAGAGGCAGGGGAGATTGGGATTTCCGGATCCGCTGCGGGGTGCTAGGGTGGGGAGGGGAGCGTCTTTGGAGATGAACAGGAGCGGCGCTGGGGAGGGAGGTATTTGACGAGATTTTTTTTGTTTGCCGAGTGTCCTGAATCTGGACACTCGGCAAAGTTTTCAGAAAAAGATTATTTATTTGTTTGCCGAGTGTTTCAGATCTGAGCACTCGGCAAAGGTTTTTATTTTTATTTTTTTTCTCCTTCTTTTTCAGAAAAAAGATTTTATTTCTTTGCCGAGTGTTCTAGATCTGAGCACTCGGCAACGTTTTTTTTCTATTTTTTCTTCTTCTTTTTTTTCAAAAAAATGATTTTATTTCTTTGCCGAGCGTTTTTTTGACACTCGGCAAACCATATCTTTGCCGAGTGTTTTTTTTGAAACTCGACAAACTCCCTCTTTGCCGAGTGTTTATTTTTTACCGAGTGTTTTTAACTCAGCACACGGCAAAGAGCTTGTTTGCCGAGTGCCCGAAAAAATACACTCGGCAAACATAAAAACACTCGGCAAATTCGAGGATTCCAGTAGTGCTACATGTTGCATATGTTTCAAACATATGTTGCAAGTATGTTTATCTGGATGTTATGAATGTGTTGCAATGGTTTTCAAGCGTTTAATGTGTTTTTTTGCAAGTATTTCAAATGCGTGTTTCAAACGTTTCATCAGCCTTCATATGTATGTTGCAAGTGTTGTACCTAGATGTTTTAAAAGTAGATCGAGTGTTGCATCTCTCTCCTCGCCTTCTATTGCCTTGCCTTGGTGTCTCCTCCTCGTCTTTTGCTGCCTTGCATCCTTCTCAAACTGCGGAGGGTGCACGCCGGGGGCCCATGAAGGGGGCGTGCCGGGGGATGGTGGCGTGGACGTGAGCGCATGATCCCTTTTGTTATGTGGGCAGGCTTCGATCACTTTTTTCTGTTGCACAGGGATGCTGAGATGGGATGCTTTCCATTGGTGGACCTAGAACTAGGAGGTGGGCCACGGTTCCGTTGGCTAGGCTGCGTCCGAACACGCTGCTAGCGCGGGGCGTCCGGGTGCTAGTGCCTCCTTTATCTAATATAAGGACATATTTAGATCTTTTGGGCTAACAATTAGTTGCTAAACCTTAGCTCTTGAGGATCCAAACAGATGGTCTAATTAGTAGGTTAAAGTTTAGCTAAGATCTGAACTATTGTTTGCTCACGTCATCAAACCCGGCTGTCAGGCTAAACTTTCTACGGATCCGAAAAAAGACACCGCATACACTCACGCAACCGCATCCGCTGGCCGCTTCCTCCACATCCGCTCGGTTCCTCCCACATCCACTCGTGCTCCGCCCACCGCCGCCGCCGTGTTTCCCCTCCGGCGTGCGGCCGCGTGGGACCTGTGCCGCGCCGGCCAGCCGACGGCCGGACCGAGCCTCTCCCTCCCCGTGCACGCGAGCTCACTGCAGAAGGCCATCTCCATGTCCAGAGTGGAAGGAGGTGCTCGCAGAGGGGAGCGGCGGTGGCGACGGGGATGGAGCGAAGGCCGGCCGGGGAGTGTCCGTGCGGAAGGGAGAAAAGAGGATTCGTGAAGAGTGGACGCGGGGCTGCAGCTGCTGCACTCGCCCAGTGTGCTGGGTGTGGACGCTGGACACAGATATAGCAACGAGACGAGGAGCTTTTGGAGAGGCCTCCGCAGTCCAACGAGATAGAGACGAGGAGCTGCCGTCTCCATTGTTTTTTTCTTTGTATTTTTTACATAAATTAATTTTTTATTTGCTTGGTCTCACAACATGTTGCTGGTACGCTATGATGTGATACTTCCTAATGACCTTTTATTTTGGAACACAGAGCAATGAGGGATAAATCCGTCTTTCTACTTGTTAGTCGGTAGATTCAAACACGATTGGGTTAATCAAAGCTAATAATTGGTCCTAGTTTTGGATAGACTAGAACTATTGATTAGCTGACTAGTGATTAACTTAACCCTGTTTGAATCCACGTGCTAATAAGTAGCACTATCTCAATGTAAAGAAGGACTTACCCTGACTTGCTGTGCATGTGCTTGTTATTCGCTGCTAGCTCGTCATGGCCGGTGTGGGGAGCTTGACGTAGCCCCGTTGGTGGAGGGTCTTCGGTGTTGGGTGCTGGCAGAGGACCTTCACACCGCTGTGGTGGGCGGTGGCGGACACTAGCAAGGGCGGCGGCGCCGGGCAAGAAGGAATCGTGGTGAGTGCGATTTTCCATGAGCGAACTAAGCCGCGCGTCGAGCGAGAAAAAACACGGTGAGCATAACTTTGCGCTAGGCGAGAAGGAATCACCATCTACAGGAGCTACACGGGCGTCGGGAGGAAGGGCGGCGGCGCGGGCGATCTGGAGACCGAGCGCAGCCGCGTGCGTCTGGGTTTTCGCTCTACACAAATGATTTCGCGAGGCACACCCATTTTTAACGGAGGCGGGCACACTGGGCGATCGCCTCCGATAATCGGTGGTAGGGACCGCGGCCGAGCGGCCACCTGCTTTAATCTTAACGGAGGCGAGCGGCTTTAGGCGTCTGCTCTATAATGCTCCATTAACGAAGGCGGGCGCCTTAAGACCACCGGCCTCTGTTAATCCATTAATCGAGGCGGACACTGCTAGGCTATATGAAAGGAACAGAATTTAGAGATTGATTAGCTACTCACTATAATTCGTTTTGAATAAATTGGAAAAAAGAAATATTGTTCTTTTTTAGTGTTATGAGATTTAAGGCATATCTTATTGCAATGTAATACACCTCGTTCGGCTGGTGCTAAAAAAAGCACTGTTTACGGCTGAAATTTACTATTCACGGCTGGTTTCCTCTCACAAATTCCTCAAGAATCCTCCAAGCGAATATTCACGGCTGGTTTCCTCTCATAAATTCCTCAAGAATCCTCCAAGCGAACGGGGTCTATATCATACATCTTAGTTTAGTTCTACTTTTTTCTAGGCCAGTAGGCCTCATTTTTAGTTTAGTACAGGGCCTCGGATCTTCCCAGGACGGCCCTGCAAGAGGCATCCAAGGGACCCGCTCGGACAGGGGAGGGAGGTGAATGTCTCTCCAACGGCAGCCGCGCGGACAGGGGAGGAAGATGAAGCTGAACCAGAAGAAACGCGCGGGAAGCAATATTCCTGCATGCAGGAAGAAACGCGCGGGAAATAATATGCTTGCAGGCGGGAAGGGGAGCGGCACGCAGAAATTCATGCGGGGGAGGAGAATAGTGAGCGGGCACGGTGTGCTATCTATAGCTAGCGAGAAGTGTGAGATAGATGGCTTCTTATTTTGGATCACTAGTACATAAGCTGTTGGAGCTCTGTTTCTTTCAAAATTTTCTTAAAGTAGACTCCAAGACAAATAGAGCTCATCTCTTAGACCATCTCCAAGAGCCTTCGTAAAACTTATTCTCTAAATCATCATTTAAAGAGTCATCCGTATAAAATTCGCTTTCTATATTTTTCCGCTCTCCAATAGTTTTTCTATATCTTGTGTGGACTCTAGAGAGTCATTCTCGTCTCTACTTGTATCCATCAACTAAGTAGCAAAATTCTATTCATGTATGTTGAATTTAAATATATGCACTTTAAGTTGAATTGAGTAAATATCTGACTAGAAATGCGAATGCGAGACATTCATTTTGCATTCGTATTCGAAAATATTCGTATATGTATTTGAATTCAAATTAAAATGTGGTAAAAGGTGATATCCGAATCCGATTTCATGCGAATTCGATCTGTTTCCATCCTTACCTGCCGCTACCTCCCACCACTGCCTGTGGCCGGCGGTGGCGCGCCGCCTCGCCTCACCGCATGCCATCTGCCCCCGCCCGCCAATCCCGCCCTCCGTTAATCCGCCGTCTCCGTCAACTGGAGCCTTCACAGCCCCTGCTCTGCCCAAACCGCCCACCTACAGTCAGGCCAGCCTTCTGTTAGGGGATCTAGAGTCACGGGGAGGCAGTAAACCCTAACCCCACATCTGGTGAAGGCGACCATGGCTGGTGCAGGGTGGTGTGGCCACGCGAGTGTGCAACCGTCGTGCATTAGAGTTTGCGTTTTAAGAAAGTTTAGTTCCTTTCCCATCTTGTGGAGTATCACTTTCATACAATGGTTCACTACTCGAGCAATTAGTAGCCATTTGTTGGAATATTATAATTTACTTTTTGCTTGATCAAGTATACACTATTGTGCTCTCAGTTGTTCACGGGTTCTCACTTGTTTTTGCTTCCGCGGTGTTTGAGAAAGTCTTAATTGTTCCGAGGGTCATCATGTTACAAGTTGTCTTGTGTGATCTTGATGATTACAAGAGAGATGTATTGGTCGAAATTAAGGTACAGGTTAAGTTGTTCTCAGCAGAGAATTTTATCGGCCTCCCATTCAAACCCTCTCTGATAGCCCGTTCAATCCTTCAAAATATTAAATACATATATGACAAATGGCAACTTACAAGCAACCTACCTAGTGTTTACAGAACGTGTAACTAGACTAGAAAGAACTAACATTCAGATTACCAAGATACAGCCACAGTAAGGTTGTCGAGAACACTGTAGCGCATGCGAATGGACTCCATTCTACGTATAGGAACGATGAGATACAAAACCAAACAAGGGACACAATACAGCAAGAGAGGATGAACCGAGAAGTATACTTGACTGATGGCACGATGTGACTGTTAAACAACATCAGCAGGGCTGCTGGTGCCGTCACTAGGCAAGTCATCATCAGTACCAGCGCTTGCGGCATCGGTGGGCCTGCTGACAATCCGGGCATGGTTGAGCAATGCCCAGAGGAGCGTTATCAGCTCGCCACCGCGAGCTATGGCCTCCGAGTGCCCTTTCAGATTGTCAGACGGAGCGACGTACAAGATCATCTCTGACCAAAAGCCCGCCAGCCGCTCCCATGCCGTCTGCTCATCATCGATTGCCTCCACCTGTTGTGCAAGCTTCACGCCATTCTTGACCACTTCATGATTTGAGTTGGAACTCAAGAGTTCGACTAGCTGGTGATTCTCATACTCCGACACCGATGACCCGGTTGCAGCCTGCTTAGTGAGGGCATGCTCTGCATCCTTCTTGATAGCCTCGTACATGCTCTTGCTCCATGCAACATCGTCAGGGAGCAACTCAGGGCACCATGTCACAAGGTATGTGCAGTACCGTGATATATGAGTGGCAGCAATCTTATGGTCTGAAATAGGTGAACTTTGCTGCTGGTCATGTTTGCATGCACTACTGGACACGGGTTCTTTGCCGAGTGCCCTAAACACTCGGCAAACCCAAGTTTGCACTCGGCAAAGAGATTGCCGAGTGTTACACTCGGCAAAGACCCGCCGGCATAGCTTTTGTCGGCAAAGGGTTCTTTGCCGAGTGCAATATATCGGGCACTCGGCAAAGCCTTTGCCGAGTGCCACGTCAGCACTCGGCAAAGAAAAGTTGACCTAACGGAGACCGCCCGTCTGACGTCCCCTTTGCCGAGTGGTGACGTGTCGGGCACTCGGCAAAATATTTTTTTATTTTTTTCCAAAAAATTCTTTGCCGAGTGCCACGGCGTCGGCACTCGGCAAAGTGCCCAGATTTGCCGAGTGCTATGGACGAGGCACTCGGCAAAGTGCCCAGTTTTGCCGAGTGCTTTGGACGAGGCACTCGGCAAAGTGCCCAGTTTTGCCGAGTGCCATGACCATAGCACTCGACAAATCTGGGACCTGAGCCGGTTTTTCCCGGTTTTGCCCAGTTTTGCCGAGTGCTGTTGTTATGGCACTCGGCAAAGGCACCTTTGCCGAGTGTTACACTCGGCAAAGCTGGGAATTTTTTTTTGTTTTTTGCTTCCCATCTTTACAGACAAACAAACCACATATTCACAACCATCACATGCCCAGAATCACAATATATAACACATAAATGCCTCGTCCATAGCAATATCCATCACAATATCCATCACATACACGATATAGATCACAATATATATCACATCCACATCCATCACAATATCCACATCCAACACAACCATCACAATATCCATCACAGGATCCAACACAAGTCTAAGTCCATGAAACATAAGAAAAGAGACCAATCCAAGGTACCTACTGCCACCCTTGCTACCCGGAGTGTGAAGAAGGGCCACCTGGCCCCCCGGGCTGTGGAGGAGGGCCAGCTGGCCACCCGGACTGTGGAGAAGGGCCAGGTTCACTTGGATGCGTCGAGTGGTGCCCTTGAGGAGTCGGGTTCGAACCCACGGACGGTGGCTGCGCAAAGGAAAAGCGAATTCATGAGTTTCTGCAGGAGGGTCGCACAAGCTAAAGCAATAAACAACCATACTCACCGGACTAGGATCAGGAGTACGAACCAATTGGAGCGAGGAGAGCGAAGGTGGCACGGCTATACCCGTCGTGGGCTGAAGGTTCGCCATGAACGAGCAGTAAAGGTCCTGCAGCCTCTTCTCCTCGGCCTCCTCCTTCGCTCTTGCTCCGCT